AAAACAATGAAATTACAATGAAATACCAATGAGATATTGTCGGGCCGTGTTGAACATTCCTTTGACTATGGACTGGGAACTATACTGGTTTTCAGGGGGGAGTGATCGCCGAGAAAATCTCACCGCATGTTTACATTCTGTTGCTTGTGTTTTGGAAGTTGTATTTGATTGAATTTACAAACGAAAATTATCTTTCTATCATTTGTTCACCTTGCAAATGCCAAGAAAAAAGTCTAAAGATAAATTTCGGGGTATTCCTTCATGGGATAAGAGTCTAGAGAAGCAGGCAGATCAATCCGAAAGTGTGTCTGATGCTTGCTGCTCATCAGCCATTTTAGAGTCAACTGTTCCTGAAGTTGATGTTGACTCACAAGGTACTGTTGAAGAACATGTGCCACCAACAGCCAGCGAGAGAAAGATAATAGGTTCTGTTGAATCTGCTAGAAGTGGTGTGGTTGAGGATGAAGGAAAAGGCGAGGATTATGATCCATCAAAACCATACTATGTTGAAGATCCAGTGTATCGGTTCTTTCATTTGTCGAATGTTTACCAAGCATTTCAAGAAAGCCACAAATGTAAAAATGCCAAAATCATCTTCAATGAAGATCAAGCCAGACGCTATGGTCAAAGTGCCCTATTTTCCTTGGAATGTTCCAAATGCAAGAGGAAAACCTACCTTCCAACATCCAAGACAACAGCCAACAAATGGGATCCCAATGATGCAACTGATATAAATCGGCGCTTGGTGTATGCTGCTTCAGAAACCGGCATTGGCAGAGAAGGTATGTCTACAATTTGTAGCATACTAAATATGCCTCAACCAATGTCTAAACAAGCTTGGAATACCCATGTTGATACTCTTTATCATGCTCACAAGCAAGTCATGAAGAATCATCTCTCTTCAACCAGGGAAAAACTTCGCTTAAAACTGAAAAAAGAGAATCCTGATATCTCTGATAATGATATACTTGACATTCCAGTAACATATGATGGTACATGGTCAAAAAGAGGCCACACTGCTAACTATGGATTTGGCTTTGTTATATCCGTGGAAACTGGACAAGTACTCGACTACGGTTTTAGGTCAAAAGTTTGTTCAATGCATGTTTAACCAACAAAAGGCTGATAAAGATTCCGAAGAGTACAAAATATGGTTTGCCAATCATCAGGAATATTGTGGAAAAAACTATGATGGTAGCAGTGGAAACATGGAAGTTTCAATAGCAGAAGAGTTGTGGAAAAGATCCCTTGATTTCAAGATGCGATATAAGTATATGATCTGTGATGGCGATTCAAAGTCTTATAATAGCGTGTGGGATGTTTATGGATGTTGTAAAACATGTGAAAAATATGAAAGAATGGATAGACAGTGTAAGGAATATGAAAAGTGGGTGAAATCAAAGGCATATCAGAAATGGAAAAAAGAACACGAAGAAGAAAGTGTTGTGTGTCACAGGGTGAAAAAGTTGGATTTCATAGGTCATGTGCAGAAAAGACTTGGAACTGCTCTTAGAGATTTGAAGAAAAAAACCAAGGGGAAGTTGAAAGATGGCAAGACAGTTGGTGGGAAAGGTCATAGACTGTCTGATAAAACCATTGACAAACTACAAGAGTATTATGGCAAAGCTATAAGAAGAAATGTTCAAGAAAATGCCAAGACAGAAAAAGAAATCAATGGTGCGATCAAGAATATGCAAGATGCAATTTTTGCTGTCCTATATCATTGTGTGATGATGCCTGATTCTAAAAAGAGACACAAGTTTTGCCCTAAGGATGAAGAATCTTGGTGCAAGTATTGGCGAACAAGGCAAGAAGTTGATGCAAAAGTACATTACTTGGATCCGGTTTTCCTGGACTTTCTTTTACCTTTGTTCACGCGGCTTAGTGAGCGCTCGTTGCTTCTTTGGTGCTTGCCTGGGTATTCCCAAAATCAAAATGAAAGCCTAAATGGTATTGTTTGGTGTAAAGCACCTAAACACAAGTACAAAGGCCCTAAATCAATGGAAATGGCTGGAATGTCAGCTGTTCTTCAGTTTGACAGTGGTACAAAAGCACTGCACACTGTTATGACCATGGCAAACATACCACCCAATCAGCATGCAGTGAAAGCAGGAGAAATCAAGGACAAAATCAGACTAACTGGTTCTGCAAGAAAAGCCAGTCAGCTTCAAAAAAAGGAAAAAATTTGCCCAAAGGCAAGCAAAACTTGTCTGTGAGCAAGAGGCATGGGAACGGGAAGGTGGTCCATCCTATTCCAGCGGAGCTTTCAATGAAGAAGCTACATAGGGGCCAAAGCCAGCAAAGAGAAAAAAATCATCCAAATAGACAGAAAATGTATGAGTATCCTTGAGACATTGATAATGTGCTAACAAATTGATAATTTTTGTTGGACAGGGTGCAAATAATAAGGAGAACAGTGAGAACAAATTAAGCTCTAACTTTATCTTGAAATATCCGAAAATCCGAAATTCCGCATATTTGAACCTTTAAAATGTTACTACTTCAAGAGCTTTTAACCAATTTTGTTGAAATTTTCTGAAATTTTTTATCACATCTATCTTAAAAAATTAATGAGGGCTTTTTTCTAAACATTAATTTGTGAACAAGATATTTGCAGATGAGCAGGATAGAAACCATTTTGGTTCCCATGGTAACACAAAGTGTCTATTCAAAAAAATAAGTCATTAATTTTTTCTTTGATAGATGTTGTATATGTATGCCAAACTTCATGTTAGTATTTTAAATTGGCTTTGAGTTTTAGCATTTTTAACATAGACTAGAATATTCAAGTTATCTGGCTTTCGGGGGCAGTACACCCCCCCTAATAATATGTAAAGTTTGTGAAATATATTTTTTATATGTCTTAAGACCTGTTCTTTGTGAAAAAACAACTTTCATTCATTTCAGGCCATTTTTTCCTTCAAAAATTAAAGATTTAAAACCTACTCCGGAAATGCCATATTTAGGAATTTTTAGCCCCCAAACTTGATCCGTTCGTTGACAAAAACGGCATCCTTCGAGTTGATGATCGTTTACGAAGAGCGAGAATCACAAGTTCCCTGTAATACTCCCTAAATCCCGAATCTGAACGAGAATCACAAGTTCCCTGTAATACTCCCTAAAGGCAGTCATGTAAGCAGTTTGATTGTTCATCATTTTCACGAGAAAATCAAACATCAAGGTAGAGGCATGACCTTTAAAGAAATCAGAGCTAGTGGTTAATGGATTGCTCAAGGAACACCTGCCGTTTCCAAGCGTATTGCGGAGTCTGCATTGTGGCGTAAGCTACGAGGAACAACGCAAGAGCAAAAGATGGCTGATCTGCCGAGCGACCGACTAGAGCCTTCACCCCCATTTACATACGCATCGGTAGATTATTTCGACCCATGGAAAATAAAAGAAAAGAGAAAATAGTTGAAGAGATATGGTGTTATATGGTGTTTGCATGGTCTCAAGAGCCGTACATCTCGATATTTGCCACAATTTAACCACTGATTCGTTCATTAATGCTGTTCGTTGCTTTCTCTGCCGCAGAGGTCCAGTACATCAGCTCAGAAGCGACGAGGGGACAAACTTTATCGGCGCAATGACAGAGCTTAAAGATGCTCTGACAGAGCTTAACCACGAAATGCTAAGAATCATTGTGATTGGAGGGTATTCAAAATGAACATTCAAAGTGCCAGTCACATGGGTGGTAGCTGGGAAAGGCTAATTCGAACCATAAGAAACGTGCTGTCAGCTATGTTTGATGCTTCAGGATTGCAACTTGATAATGAGTCTTTAACAACACTATTTTGCGAAGCAGAAGCCGTTGTAAATAGCCGCCCATTGACTGTTGACAGTTTGAATGATCCCGACTCATTGACCCCCCTAACACCCAATAATCTGTTAACTATGAAGTTAAAGGTTGTTCTCCTAATCTCAGTGGACCATATGTCGTACCGACAGATACATCAAAGCAAATCACTAATTAAAGAATTCAAGTTCAGCAAATCAATATTAAAGAATTTGTCTTTCAAAATCTGACATCTCATATAAGGGAAAAATTGCTATTTTAGACAATGGTTTTCAAATTTTTTGAACTGAATGAAATGAACTGCTGGTCTAATATTCTGTTGTATCCTTTGCCAATCCCTTCTGAACATTCTTACTCAATTTCAAGTTCAGCAAATCAATATTAAAGAATTTATCTTTCAAAACTCAGCCAACCAATATTAGCGAAAACGATGGAGGCGAGTGCAACATCTCAATAATGAGTTTTGGTCTCTTTGGCGAAAAAAAATTATTATGCAGAATCTCCAACAGCGACAAAAATGGATCAGAACGAAACGAAATCTCGTCGAAGGCGATACTGTAATCATCACGGACGAAAACCTTCCCCGTAATTGCTGGAAGTTGGGCCGAGTATACAACCTTTCAAGTTGCGGATGGTTTTGTTGGAACAGTGGAATTGACTATCAGTGATTCCTCTTTGGATGACAACGAAAACGAACAAAAGCAATAAGTGTGTTGCAACGTCCGATTCACAAGCTGGTACTCCTAGTGGCGAATAGGGCAGAAGACCTTGGATTGCATGTAAACTTTCTTTGTTGTCAGTGTTGATGTGTGAAATTCGCCAATTTCAGGGGAGCCATGTAATCGCATGCGTTATCATAATTAGCATAAATTGACATTAATTTTATATTTAAGCGGGACTATTTTTTTGTCAATTGTTTGGCGTGGGCGCATTGAACACAAAAGGATTATCACAATCCGCACAAATGTCATTGTTTGGGTTAGATATGTAAGTATTACTGTTGATATTTTCTCGGTAGTACAGGTAGCTCTATACTAAAGGTTTCTTTGTATATTGGCTTATAGTTTACGTAAATTACATCATTACGTGATTGATATTTATATATTTATTTATCCATCGACAACATTATTGTTATAGTAGAACGCTCTACCACAAGGTATTGAGGGCTCTACCTACATGTAGTACCACAATAAATTTGCCTTACCTTTCAGGTGCACTTTCAGAATCACTAGGGAAGAAACAACAAAAGTTGAAATATCCCTTATAATAAATACATATATATATTTATATATATATTTATATATATATATATATATATATATATATATATATTTATACATATATATATATATATATATATATATATATATATATATATATATATATATATATATATATATAATATTGTCCGTACTCAATAGAGTGCTCAATATCAATAAATAGAGCAAAATAAATAAATAAATGTTTAATCTAAAAATATTGTCATCGCTACACGGTGTTTCACGCTCAAGGCGATCATCAGGCGAATGGATTGATAAAAATATTGATATTATTGATAATATTAATATTATTGATATTTGCGGATATTCTTACATATTTAACCCATTCGCCTGATGATCGCCTTGAGCGTGAAACACCGTGTAGCGATGACAATATTTTTAGAATAAACATTTATTTATATATAAATATAATTAAACATTTATATATATGATTACATTTGCATGGGATTTCAATCATATTACACTACATATGCAATTCTAATTAGATTTCGAGTATCTATCTATATATCTATCTGCGGCAAACGTTTTTGCAAACGGGTGTATATGAAGAGAGAGGAGCTTCAATAGGCCTCTCGAAACAGAACTGTAGTGCTTTAAATTTTTAAATTTTTTTAAATTTTGAATGAACAATTTTTAGGTTTTAATCTCTAATTCATTTCAAATTTCAACCCAGCTCCACTTTAGTGTAGAGCACTGTACGGCTGAAGGAGAAAACCAAATTATGTATATATATATATATATATATATATATACAGTATATATATATATATATATGTATATATATATATATATATATATATATATATATATATATATATATATATATATATATATATATATTGCATTACCTTTGAGGTGTGTTTTCAGCATTTTTCGGTGCATCACTTGAGAAAAAACTACATAAGTTGAAATAGGCATAAGTTGAAATCTTAGAAAACTCAAAAGAATTCGAGTGGTATAATAAGAAAATTTATCTACTGGAGAAAAAACTATATAAGTTGAAATAAGTAGAGTGAATAAACTTTTTGGGGATACAAATGTTCAATGATACTCCGGTGTCAGACAAATGGGTGGAGAATTTTTTTTTCCAATATTTTTTTCGAATAGTCTACATGAAAAGTTTAAAAGGATATGGCAATAAAAATTGTCCCTGTATTGTTTAAAATGAAATTTACACTTCGTTTACAACCTGTTTATAATATTAGTTTATTCTTTTTACTTTGCAAGATATTGGTGATCAAAAACATCGCATATCGAGATATTTCCGCCATCTTGTTAAATCGTGAGATCTAATTACGTGATGTCAAAAGCAGCGTTAACGCTTAAAAAATAACAATTACATGTTCAGGCTTTTGTTTAGAACTCCAGCAATTTAAACGCTATAATTTGAGATATGTGCGATTTTAATAGCTGTTATGAAATTATTCCTTTGCTGAATCGGTAACTTGAAGTTACAAAACAAATTTTCATCTAGGTTATGACGTCATGCATATCCGATCAAAAAGATGCGTTTCCAAAATGGCGGGAGGGAGAATATCTTCAGAATTAATAAAGTTAACAAAATCCGTAAACGAATTTTTTAAATATTCATGAAGTTCTTTAAAATAGGTGAGAATAATTTTTATTAGCGTATCCCTTTAAGACTCATTTGGTATATCAAAACAACAGTTTAGTTTTCATAAATAAATTAAATTAGGTCACACGCAACGACATGGGAATGCTTAATGCATATCTTCCATATTGTAACTGTTAAGATGAATTCAATCCATTGTGCGCAATGATTTATTTCTGAACTAGATGTCACGTTTTTGCTGCTTGTGGGCATGCAGTTAATGCTTTCCGGATGTTGAATTAGTCGAACGTGAAATTATTTATTCACTTCGCCGTTTAAGATGCCTATAGTTTTTTCGAAATAGCATCTGTATCAAATTACTACCACATTTTTACTTAACTAACGGATATCCGAAAGATATAGCTAAAACATTGCAATGCATATAGACCAAGTTAAAAAACAACAACAAAATGATGATGACTATATCAGCATTAAACTACCATTTATAAAGGAAAAGTAAAAACGTCAAGCTTTGGCGGTTATTAGACGCTTTAAAATCAATAACGTGAGACACATTATGAATGGAGAACTTTATCCCGAGTATTTGCACCACCTAGCGAAAAAACAAGCTTGATAAAGTATACACCGGCGAAACTGCCAGGACAGTATGATCAAGAATTAAGGAACATTTAACGCATCAAGAAACAAACGGTTTACCTCCTTTTAATTCGACATAATGCTGTAAGATCAAATGAGCGCAAAGTTATTGAAGCTTTACAAATTAAATTTAAGAGAGAACATTCAATTTTTATGAATGATTGTATAGGACTAATTCTAGATGTTTCAACAGTGTAATCATGTATTTTTTACTTAAATGTGATAAATCCTTATTCACTGTGTATCATTAAGTTTTTAATTAGTCTAATTCCAGCAGAGATTTTATCTGACCTTTTTCAATTCATTGATGAACAGCGGCGTAGCCAGAACGATAAGGGGGGGGGGGGGCATATTCATATATTCGTGATACGCAGGATTAATTTCTTTTCAAATCAATTGTCTTTACAGTCTGTTTACATGAATATATGAATATGGACCCCCCCAATTATCGATGCTGGCTACGCCACTGCTGATGAACCGGCGAAACGTTTAGATATTTCACAATTAATGTTGCCTGAAGAAGTTTCTCTTGTCGAACATTCATATACGATAATTCATAAATTTCTAGATGGAGATGGCTATGAGGTATTTGATTTGAATCCTCTACAGTACCACTCGTTGACAATAGAAAAAGCATCTATTAATTGGCTCAACGGGCAATAGATAAGCCTCTTCCTTTCAACGCTGACTTGGCTGACAAAAACCATTATCAGACAATTTGAGAAAATGCAAGAAAAACATTCCCCGAAAAATGACATATTGTGAACTCAACTCGATGAGTCTATTACAGCCGATCTACTATCGTGTATTCAGCAAGCACGGGATAAAGGAGCAAGCTCATGGTTAAATGCCATACCAGCTGAAGAACAAGGTTTGATCCTGAACAAAGAAGAGTTCAGAGATTCGTTAAGAATCCGGTATCATATGCCCCTGTCGGAGCTCCAAGTCATTGCGTATTTGGGGCTTAATTTTCCGTTAATAATGCTTTATCCTGAAAGAGAGGAGGTTTTTTGGCCCGAAGGCACGACGGTGTCCGTGGCACACCCTGCAAAGCAGCATTATCAGCAGATGACAACGCTGCTTAGCAGGATGTGCCATAATATTCAAGTCGAACCCAAGCTCCTTACTTTGGATAATGAACAATTTCGTTTATAGTCAACTATCGAAAGCCGGGAAGCGCGGCTGGATATCAAAGCTGGCAAGTTCTAGCTGGGTAAAGGAGTTACATCATTCTTTGACGTACGTGTAACACATGTAAACTTCCTATGTTATCAAAACAAAGCCACATCCGATATCTTTAGAGAACAAGAAAACAAGAAGAAGAGAAAGTATCAACAAAGAATCTTGGACGTAGAAATGGGTACCTTTATACCACTGGTTATGGGAACGAAAAGACGCATAGGAGCTGAATGAGAGAAATTCTTGAAAAATCTGGCGGAAAAATTTTCAAGGAAAAATGGAAATTACTACTCAACCGTGATCACATGGATTAGAACTCGATTGCTTTTTGAAATCCTGCACGAGAGGATCAAGAACGCCATTTCGTGCGAAGGATGAAATTATTGACGATTTTAAATTAAACTTCATTAAAGCTCACGTTTTTTTAAACTGTCTAAATTTTACTAGGGCCAATATAATGAGTGAAATCCGGCTTTACCAGGAGAAGCGATTATAAAGCGTGCTTTTATTAACGTAACAACAACAAGGAACGATTATGTAAGCAATAAGGTTACTATGTGAGGCGGAATAAACCGCTGCCATAAGGACTTGCATGGCTAGTTTCCTCTCCTATACGAGCCGGCATGCAGCTAGCGCTTACATGTGACAACATAATTAGAAATGAACTACTTAATAACAACAGCTGAGGCGCAATGCCCGTCTTACTATACCCCCTTATGTTTGTGGTTACGCATGCATGGTAAGCTAAACGCGGCAGTGTCAACAGTGTTTTAAGAGGGATATCCGAGCGAGTCAATTGGGATCCAAATCCGGCCATCGGTATATACACCAGTAAAGGCTAGTTTCCACTCGGGAAAAATCTCCTTTGGATCGGAATGGACAGGAAAATTTCCTTTGTCGGTGAGTTCTTAGGCGGCGTTTATACAAAAGAAACTTTCCTGTCCTGTCTGATCCAAAGGAGATTTTTCCTGAGTGGAAACTAGCCTTAAGGGGCTTTTTGCTCTCATTTTGACATACGAAAGAGCATTGATGGGTGTTGTTGATGGAGTGGAGAGAAGAACTGGTGTACGGGTAATTGCGTCAGGAACTGGAGGAGGTGCTGGAAGATCGAGGTTTTGAGTAGCCGAGCTTGGGAACTGACAAAGAGACATCTCGGCAATAGCGGACTAATCGGAATCATAGTCGCAGTGTGCGTCCTAACCAAGGATGGGTGGTTGTTGGGTGGGTGATGGAGACGCAGCCTGTATATTGGGTAATACTCTGTGAGATGTAAACTTTACTTTGGAACTGGGAGCTTGTAAACTTCCGCAAATGACACATCTTGTTGTCATCAATGTCTGTGACGAAGTATTTATCACGGGCTTTTGTCTTGTCCTTGTCACCTTTCACGAATACGAGGTCACCAATGGAGATTGAAGAAATGGGGGGAGAAAGTCGGCCGGGCACTGTCGATCTAGCGCTGGGTAGGTGATTTTTCTTAAAATAGGCGCTTTGGTCGAGTATAAGGTCGCGGTCGACGGTAGGCAACTGTTCGCCGGACATCTGGTCTCTCTGAGTCAAATCTCACGAGACGAGAGGCCATCTCTTCGTATGCGAGAGTTCATGTTTGCCACAGCGAGCGCTAGCGTAACATGTGTGACTGGACCGCCCTCGGGATGTAGCTTGAGGAGCTCGACTCTAAGCTCAGCGATGCCACGTTCGGCATTTTAGGGATTTTTGTTCGGGTTCTTAGGTCTTCCCACTTCCAAACGAAAGCCAGAGGAGGTAAGAGCTTTGTCACGCTGCGAGGCAGAGAAACCAGGAGCGGGGTCAACGCGGACGGTTACGCTACAATCGCGTAGAGATCTGAGCTCTGAGCATAAGATCAAGATCGCGTCACAGAGACTGCATGTCATGTTTTTCACTTAGGATTATGGCGACGGTGGTGTACGATGACACAGTCTCTCTCATGACAAGTATGTACTGGCTGTAGCAGCGCATTACGTCTGCAGCGAAGGAAACACCGATGGTAGTAGGGGACTCAGATGCAGATTGAAACTGAAGGTGTCTGGGAATAGATTTCGCGCCCAAACAGAGTGAACAGCTCGATCAAGATCAAGAGCGAAGAAGTACCGCGTGAACAGGCGCTTAAGCTGGAACTTGGATGGGTGCAGTAGCGTAGCCAGCCTGTCAATTTGTCCCGCTATGCTAATATTTTAGTCTTCGCTGACTGTGAAAACAATAAATTTCTAAATACATGAATAATTATAATAACTCAAAATTTACATAGCGGGACAAAATCGTCAGGCTGGCTACGCCACTGGATGGGTGAATGAATCGGATGTGCAGGGCGGTTAACAAACCATCGAGTACGGACCGAGGTACGACAATACGCTCGGAACTGGGTTAGAATGGGGAAGAGTCCTTCACGACGAGGAGGCCATCGAAAGCAATGACCGCTTGCTTAAGGTAGCGTTGGACATCCGTTATCTTGGCTGCTTTCTTCGAGGTGCTCTGGTGAAGATGGGA